GCCAAAGACTTCTGTGTTAAAATGTTTTGTGATACTGATCATTGTTTCGGTATTTTGGTGAAGAGATATCACAATGATATTCAGTAATACGAATGATTTGTTACCCCCACAAGTTTGCTTATTATCGACAGTTAAAATATGTAAATATTTCTACAACAAAAGTTCTCTTGTAAAAACTAAAATATTGAATTATTACTCTAAACAATAATAATAATATTAACAATGAATTTTTAGTAACAACAGTAGAACCTGTCTAAGATGCTCTCGCTTAAGACAATTTCTCAGCTAATACGCTCATTTTTACGAGTCCCTTGATTTTGACAACATTTAACATATAATTAACTCTGGATAATACGCCCTATGTTTCCGTATAATACGCTCGTCTTGTCAATGATGTTCATATAAAAATATATTGTACATACATATACTTTGTATAAAATTTAAAGAAATACCTCACCAATAATAACAATAACGATTAATAACAAATAGTAACAAATGCACTTGATTATGTTAATGAGCTAAGAAGATTAATTGCATCTTATGACAACGTTGACGAAACGTTGCATCATCTTAATAAAATTGAAAACTTCCTGCATTCAAAACATCAAAACTTTGAAACAATGAAAGATAGACGATTTTTTGAAATAGGTAATATAAATGTAATAATTTACTCTGCAAAGTAAAAAATATAATTTATATGTATATAACATGGATGTATTGTAATAAAAATTTTTTGTTCCCGCGTAATACGATTTCCCGCTTAAGACGCTATTTGTAACTGGTCCCTTGGAGAGCATCTTAAACGGGTTCTACTGTATCAGTAACATATCAGTGAAATACATTAAAATTGCAAAAAGAAAAAGGTTAAAAATTAAGTCCAATAATGTTTTGTGGAGAAAGTATGCTGGATTATTTGTGAAATATGGCGGCTAAAAGTGTTTTCTGGGGAAAAAAAATCGTTTGTTTTTTATGTAATCTATAATAATTTACTGTAAATAAAATTTAAATTGATTTATTTTATTAGTGGCTTATAGGGATGTATTGACAGTTCGTTAAAATATTAGGAGCATAATAATTGCTAAATTGAGTTGTGTCTGTATTTTATCGGCTGTAATCCATTTAACGGTTAAAATATTTTTATGTTGAATGTAATCTTTTATTATGATAATATGTGAATCACAGATATTTTTTAATTTACTAGTATGTTTGTTTATTCGTCCACAATATTGAAAAACACAATAACTGTGTTTATTTCGGTTATTATGCAGTAATATCATGAGGAATATAAAATATCCAAAAAAACGCTTTATCGTTTCATTTCTTTACTCATACGTATGTACATACACGCACAAAAAATAAAATGTATACGAGTATAATGTATGTCTCTATAAGACATTGAATTTTGAAATTTTCTCCTGAGGAAGCAAAAGATATCTGTACGAAATTTCTTATTTTTTAGGCAATCAAAACCGTTCAAAAATCGATTTAAAAATACAATCGGTTACACAATAAGTGATTCAGATAGTTATAGGTTGACGAGAAATCTGTAACTGATACGAAAGAGTGCGGCAGCGATTCACTTGAACTGAACCTATATTTAATACGCTCATAGTGGTTCGAATGCTTAAGGAACGGCTTACCACAACGGTATGTGGTTAAAATAAAACAAAGTTTGATCTCGCAGTTTACGACCGAATGGGAAAAAACCCAGAGGAAAGATTATTCTATTCCAGAGGTCTCCAAACTTAATTGACACATGTGCATGATAATTACTTATGATAATACACATATTTTTAGATTATTTACCGTTATTTGTGAGGGCGTATTTTCCGGGTCGTAGTTTGGACACTCTTGTACTATTCGATCTTTTGAACCTATGACCCGAAGCCGTGAAATTGAAACAGAATTCCCCGGAGAGAGATACTTGGGAATTTCGTAACATTATTGAAAATAATTCGTAAAAATCTCGTAGATCTCACCTTTTTGTGAAAATTAAAAATACAAAATTAAAGTTAAATTATTTTATATATTTATATTTAAAAAAAAAAAAAAAAATACAAAATGTAGTATTGTAATAGAAAAAAAATATTGGACAAACAAGAAATGTATGTGGTTTTAATTACCAAGTAACAAAACTTAAATAAGTATCAATCAAAATAATCAATAATTTACCATTTACAGTAGAATCTTTTGTGAAAAAAAATAACAAGTGTTGTACTTGTTAAGTCTTTCGTCATTTCATATCTTGGATTGGATATTTTTGATGAAAATAATACATTGATGGATAATGGAAATTAATATTTCGAACATTTTACATGCCACACGGTTAAACATGCAGTTGTTGAGCTATTATAAATTATAATGCGTATATATGTAAAAGTGTGGAAGTTATATGAAACATATTTTGAACAACCGACGATATCAAAAAATCGTCTGTCTGGAGCATCAACTGTGGTTGAAATTTTCTACCGTTGTCAGTTCAAGCATATCTTGTAAAATATACCCTTATTACAAATCACCTGTTTGATAATGTTAATCTTAAAATCATCTTCAATTAAAACGTACTTATCATTAGATAGGTACTATGATTGTTACAATAGGTATCGTTATCATACGCAAGAAAGAGTGTAGATGATAAATACTTCACATGTATTTGCGTAAGTACTGCGATGTATATCAATTATAATTGAATTTCCCATTATATCTTATACAGATCATTAAATAATGATTTATCAACAAATTAATTGCCCAATTGATTTTTGAATAATTTTTATTTCTTGTGATTAATTAACTAAAACACCAGATACTTGGTTAATAGCTGTATCAATTAATTGAAAAATATAAGTGTGCGAGACTTATGAGATAACAAAACACTGCATTATTTTTATCATTATTTAAAGACAGATCAAAGAAAGCAATGATAAATTTTTTAAAGATATATATTATAATATCAGAGCTCTTTTAAATTCTTATTTATTGTTTATTATCATGTTTCGGAAAATAATAATCATGCGAGAAATTGGTTTTAAAGGTTATTTCGTATCAACACTACCAAAATGAATGATTCTGAAATTCAATTAAGTTTAACATTTTGATTACAACTTCGATAGATTTGTAAAGAAGTATTATTCATTTCATTTACACGCAATCAAAGTATATTATAATGGTAGAATAAACGTTATAATCATTTTCCTCCCCAAATAATATTTCTATATAATTCGTTTTTTTTTTGTATCTTTTTTTTATAAAGCTTCGATTTTCAGCATTTTATTACTAGCAGTTATTTTATAATTTGTTTTGTTTCATTTTCGAAATAAACATCATAATAGTAAAATAATAATTCACCTAACGGTCATTCATATAAAAATAATAAAATCACATTTTTCTATCAACATTTAAAACTTTACAGATCTGAAAAATAAATCGTTGTACTGTCTATATAGGTCATTTTCTCAACACAAACTTAAAACATGATTTACGATTATTATTTGCCAAATTGAATGCTAATTAATTATTTGGCATTGAATTAGGCAATTAATTAAGCATAAAATAAATTATGTAAACTTCACTAAGATGTTGATCATCTTGAATGTAGTAAAAAAAGGAACCTTATTAAATTCAACCATTTATTTCTCATCCAAATAATGGTTTTTTGGAGTGTATTAAATTTGCATCTCAACTCTAACCAAGTAATGATCGTTCTTAAATAAAAGCTTTTCTTTGGTTGCTCCAAAAAAATAATTTACCTAATTTATCTACAAAATTAATTCTAACACTCTTAATTACCCGCTTAGAATAAAATCACTGTTCTATATATCATTTTTACTAAAAATATCAAAATTATGTTCCCTAAAGGTTCTGAAGTATTATGAATAAAATACAATAGATCCTTAAAAATAAAAAGTTAAAAATATAAAACTTATATGAAACAAACAGTATTCAAAACTTAATATTTTTCATTCTTTATCTAATAGAGATCACAACATATTTATCCGTTTTTTATTAGAATGGTTTTATGTTAAAAAAAATTAAAAATAATTTATATTTATATGATAAACATTTTGTATAATATTTAAAACGATTAGAAAATGTATTCAATTGAATATATAAATTAAGTCTAATAGTTTCAAGTCAGTAATTCAAAATTAATTAATAAACCTAATTCACGTTAAATCTACATTTTTTATCAAAACACTTGTGGATTCAATTTTTCTGAAGATGAAACATCATTTTTAAATGAATTAATTTATTTTGTGATTGAAATATTTACATTTTGTAGTTTTATATCAACAATTTATTAAAATACGTGTTTTATCAGTAAAACAATTACTTGTTCCTGGTAAAACGTTTACATTTTTATATTGCCGGCCGATAAATTGCCGCAAATATTAAAATAATAATGCAGTAGTAACGATATTAATTGAGCCAAAACTCGATTGTATTATCATTGCGATTTGTAAAGATACTATTACGAACGATCGAAAAAAGTCTTGATTTCAATATTTTGAAAACGTATTCAAACAATAAATATTTGTCAAAAGTATTTATGTGATAATATGTTAAATACAAACACACCTGATGGTATATATAGCATATAATAAAAACGCAATTCGTTGAGTGTATTTGCTATTTTTTTTTTTATTTTTTTTTTTTTATCTTGTTACTGTTAAACCTGTACAAAATTTACATGCACATGAATTTATTGTATATATTCGTGATCGAGAGAGAAGTACGCGAACATCGGAATAACCGTAGTTGTACTCAGATTTTTCCATTATATTTTCCTCGCTTCCTCTTCTCGATCCGAAAATTTCAATCAATCGGACCACCACATCGTCAACCGTGTCTCCGTTCGTCAAGTTGTAATTTTTTATTTTAATTTTTTAATTTTGACCCATGACTATAGATCATGCGGAAACACGGTACGCGCGCGTGCACCACGTATTTGTAACCACATTCTTTCTAGCACAAAACATATTTTGATGTATGATCTATTATACCTGCTGTTCACGTCGATTGTTGAACCCGATGCGTGCCGATTTCACCCGCACGTTCAAACGTACTCTGCGTACGGACAAAACACAACACGTGTGGGGGTGGTGTGGGAATGAAAAGCAAAAAAAAAAAGTTAATGATTAACAAACAAAGGATCGCGGTGAACTCGTGCACCACATCTCACCGGTTGCAATTAAGTGTGTCCAATTACCGTTGTATTATCGGGACGCCGATTTACCTACACCGATTCGTGTAAACGAGCGTAACGCGCGCGGCCCGAGAGCGCACTGCGCCGAGGCGATTTCACCCGCGCGGTAGTACTCGTCATCGTCGGCGGCGGCGGCGGTGGCGTTGGTGGCGACAATTTAACCCGATCGTAGGCGCGCTTTTGCGTATACACGTGTGGGCGTGTGAGCAAAGGGCCCGTTAAAAGGGACGACGTGTGCGGTCGACGTGGACAAGACTTTGGAAACGCCTCTAATAGGATGAGGGAGAGAGAGAAACAAATAAAAAGAAACAGTGAAAGAGACGGGCCCAAGTGTAGTCCGGCTTATCTATCATCGGACGACCTGCTGTTGCGGTATAAGTATGTCGTTTGTGTGTTGGTATGGTTTTGTTCTGATTTTATATTTTTTACTCGTGGAGTTTGAAGAAAGCACATAACAAGAATAAAACGAACGGTCCAGAAAAAATGCTAACGTACATATGCAGTGCACGTTCTAAACATTGCATACAGTCGGATATGTTTTTCCAACCGATTTCAATCAAGCATATATCGTTGCGTCGTCCAAGAACGATTCACCGACGATTATATATTTAACCATTTGTACTTATCAACCTCAAGGCTCTTTGGTCATAACGGTATTTTCATATCAGTAAGTTATACATAAGTCAGTATGTGGAATTGCAGTATAACGTGTTTTAATGGAGTAATGATTTAAAATTGTTTTGGATCTGTAGAGAAACAAACTGCGGCCGGAATAAAGTCTTGGGAGATCAGGACCTAACAATTTATCGGAACCCTGAAAAAAAACTGAATGACTTAAATGTTATTTATTTCTTCAATAAGTGTTAATATAAAATATTTCAATAGGTGTTAAATATAATAAAAATAACAATATGAAAAAGTTATAAATAAATCAATATCCAATGAACATTCATATAATTTTGTTGAATCATTATTAAAACGTTTGATAGTAAAATTTTGTATATTTTGGTATATATATATATATATACCAAAATATACAAAATTAAAATCTGTTACCTACACTTGAGGCCCCGGTACATCGTATCCTATGTACTCTCGCTAAATCTGGCAATGTAAGCAAATTCTATACTTTTGTTCACATCGTCCAGACGTTTATTCCACGTAGTCATACATTCATGAAAGTAGTAAAAGCAAATTTAATCTTTTTGCACTAGTCAGTCGACGGTAAAGACACTCCCTATCTCATTTTGATTAGTTTTTGTTCTTCTTTAATTGTTTTGTTCAATTTAGTTGTAATTTATTGATACCTTTTTTTATTTTACATTGTTTTATCATTATTATTCTATTGTCTCTGATAGTTAATAGATTAATAAATATTCTCACCCACAAGTCGATTATATACCGATATTGACATCAAACTGCAGATGACAAACGATTTTTATACCTAAGAGTTTCGTGAAGAATCGCAAACAAAAGAATCCGTCGGGCATTAAAATATATTAACGGCAAGTATCAAACGTTTTAACTTTTCCGCACTGTTACAAATCGTATACGTACTGTAGTAAATGTAAGTGAAATCTCGTGTTCACCGCCTTCAGATTTAACGCGGATTCACACCATTCACCCCGTGAACTCCACCCCCACGACTTTCGAGATGCGTTCATGTTTTTGCACTACCATCCTGTAGATTGTTTCTGTTATCGGCATTAACACGCCACGTATCCACATACACAGCGATCAAAAAACACGTCAGACATCTACGTATCATGATTTGTCCGTGGCTATCGTAATAATAAATATTAGTAAAGCTAACTTATTTATTTTCTCGCATGTTTGATAAATCCGTTGGGTTAGAAATGAATATACCTACATAAATAACATAACGGTGTGCAGAATATATGCACAATTTAAACGTGTTTCGATAGTAAATTAAATAGTAAAGTTGTTGATACACTTACGGTGCGGAATTGAAAGTTTGATGTTAAATTAATGTTATATTTAATATGATTAGCTGGTGGGTAAACAGATGGGAAATCAAAATGAACGAATTTTAATCCATTCGAGTAACATTTGCACTCAGAAATCTCCATTCATCACCTGTCACGTTAAATAAACAAATAGTTCAAACGGTAAATGAAGTTAAATATCTTGGTCTAACTCTTGATAAATTTACTTAAGCTTAAGACTTTAGACTTCATCTCCCAAGACCACTCTTGAAATCCAAATTTTCTCTATCCAAAAGTATACTATATAGAAATTAATAATTTATAATGTCTATTATAGGCGTGCCCAGGATTAAAATGTAGAACAGGTCCAGTTATTATTATTCGTATTTTAATTTATATTGGTACATATTTTTATTATTATTTTTTTCGCAAAATTTTCATAACATTTTTTGATTTGTTGAACTAGAAAAATTGATCATATAATATTACACAATTCCTCCTATTTGATTTGTTAATACTATTTAAAGATGTAAAAAATTAAATAATAATGATGCAAAAATATTAATAATAACTTTGATAACAGGGTAAGCCCAGGCTTACCAGGCCTATCCTTTGGGTACGCCATTGGTAGACTTATGGTATTCAGTTACAGGATTCTGCATGTCCGTACCAGAGGCGTTCTCAAGATTTTTTATTGGGGAAGGGTATAAAAATGTATTTAAATGTGAATCGTAGAAGCCCTCACACTCCCCTTTTTATATAAAAACAACATATCTTAAATGGAAATTAAAAAAAATATATTATTGATTAAAATATTAAATTTATAAAAGAATATCGAATTTTCTTGATTTTTGAGCTATCCTATCAAGAACTTCTTTGGCATCAATTGGGATTTCTCTATGGATAGTTAACAATGTTAAGCTGTTAAGACGATTCTATGACATTAAATTATGAAAAATATGAAATTATAATATTATTTTTTTAATTTTTAAAAAAAAATTGAATTGATGGTATCATGACACTAATTTATTGTTTACATTTTACATCAATATAATATAGTCAGTAATCTGTTATTTGTATATAAAGTGCATATTCGCATGGAAAATGATATCGAGTCAAAAAAATATTAATTAATTTAATTTTCATTAAAATATTAAATAATACTTATCAGTTAATAATGAAACTCCATCTTACCCCCCCCCCCAAAAAAAAAAAAAAAAAAAACACTAAAAAAACCCCCCCCCCCCCCCCCCCCCCCCCAAAAAAAAAAAAAAAGGCGATGGGAGATTCATCCCCCATATCAACTCTCCCATGAGAACGCCCGTACAATATCAAAATTGTTCAGGCATTCATCTATTTACTAACTCTAACAGTCTTCCCTTGGTATTTAACGATCAATAATTTTCACTAAGACATAACAATTTATGCTCATAATCAATTAGCAAAATTATATTTCTTTAAATTGCATACTAACTTAAACACTCACAGTAACTCACCAATCAAACATCAATCATTTACCTCATTTTTCGATAGTATACGTTGAATACAGGTCTACTAAGATAAATAAAAAACAATACCTAAAAATACCTATTCGATGGCACTACTGATTTCCCGCTCAGAAACGCATAATTCTGTCAATAACTATCTATTAAATTTCTTCATTATACTATTCGTAATGTTATTGTAACCACTGTAAAAAAATTTTAATAACTAAAAAAAATTAATAATTAAACATTGTTATATAATTTAACAGTATAACAGGTATTATACATGGTTATTGAGATAAAAATTCATCGATTTATCCTTTTTAAATTATTATACAAACTAGATAAGAGATAATGACAAAAGTAAATTGATTTTATAAATATTATTATTCCAAAACGTCATAACAACTGGAACCCAGGTGAATTAATTTCTTATCGCGCTTTTTGATTAAATTACCCTTGAGATATTATAATATGTATGATATGCCTGGTGCATTATATTACTGTATTATGTTCTAAATTTATAAGATAATACCTTTTAAATGATACATTCGATTTAATTTTATACGTTTAAAATGGAATGCATATAAATCATTTGATTAAGCTTGTACAGAAATTATTCTTAGTTGTCATTATGAAAATAATATTTTATACAACTAATATAAAAAATTAGAAACTCATGAATAAGTTGTAAAAAAATATTTTTGAAATAAAATATTTGATATTAAAAAAAAAAAAAATCCTTATTACCTATATCAAGTTAAATATTATTTAAAAAGTCCGTGTGTTTTCAGGTTGAATTTTATTCAAGAACACACAATAATGAAAATTGGAATTCATAACCAAAAATACATGCAGTATAGTAATTTTATTAAGAATCTCACGAGAAGCGTTATAATAATACAGAAAAATATTGATTTTTAGTAAAAAAAATATTGTTTGGTAATTTTATACTGAAAAAGTCTCATTTACTGTTTTCCATGCTTACTATAACTATCAATAAAACAAACAAAATAAATTAAATTTATCACAAAAGTTTACAAACGAATTGTAAGTACATACCAAAAAACAAGATTTTCGATTTTAATTTTACTTTCTTTGTACAAAAAAGTGTACGCTGCATGCGATCCGATACCCATATTACGTTTATAGTAATGGGTGTGGTTTTAGACAATAATTTTTTTAGCTCTTATTTTTTTTTATACGCATGAGTGAACCATTTGCGATTATAAACAAATTCTGCAATAAGAGTTTCATATTTTTAACAAGAACTTATTCGTCTAACGTGTAATTGCATTTTGGTTTGTGTTTTTATCGGAAGAAAATTTTACTCAAAAAAATATATTCGCTTGTGCGGTGAACGTTTTTTTTTTTTAGAAATTGTAGAGCTTTGACAGATCATCTCTTAAAGTATATACGAATTCGTCAATCTAATGTTCACAATCTATCGGTACGTCTAAATGACGTATATGTTGTATTCACGAAATGCATTCCCTAGAATTGTTTCAAACTGATTTTCGATTTCGTATCAAGGCAAAGCCGACTGAGTATTTTAGACATTTTGTCATTGATACGGTTACGGATCACTATATATTATAATAAATTCAAACATTGCATGTCACACATATCGTTATAAGT